CACCCAAAGGGCAGGAAGTCAGCTGGGGTCATAGGATCCCAGCAAGATAAGCATCCAATTTACTCTTGAAGGTGTTCAATGTAGGTGCTTGAACCACCTCCGATGGCAGGCTGTTCCAGACCTTGGGGGCTCGGACAGTAAAGAAATTCTTCCTTATATCCAGCCTGAAACGATCTTGCAGGAGTTTATAACCGTTCAACATTGTCATCCCTTCGGGCACTCTGGTGATGAAATGTTCCCCCAGATACTGGTGGTCACCCCAATGAACTTACAGGTGGCCATTAGATCACCCCTAAGTCTGTGCTTTTCCAGGCTAAAGAGCCCCATGGCTCTCAGCCTGTTGTCGTAAGGTCTGTTTTCCTGACCTCTGATCATGCGCATGGTTCTTCTCTGGACTCTCTCAAGCTTCTCCACATCTTTTCTGAATTGTGGAGTCCAAAACTGGACACAGTACTGCAGCTGCGGACTCACCAAGGCTGAGTACAAGGGGAGAATGACATCCTGGGATTTGCTTGAGAAGCATCTATGGATGCAAGCCAGCGTTTTGGTTGCTTTACTAGCCACAGTATCACGCTGCAGGCTCACGTTCATCTTGCGGTCAATGACGACCCCCAAGTGTCTTTCTTCCGTAGGGCTAACCAGCGTAGCACTGTCGAGCCTATAAGGGTGCTGCAGGTTTTTCCTCCCAAGGTGGAGAACCTTGCATTTTTCAGTGTTAAACACCGTCAGGTTCTCGTCCGCCCATTTGCTGAGCCTGTTCAGGTCAGCCTGGATCGCCCGCCTGTCTTCTGGTGTGGATGCTTTGCCCCAAAGTTTGGTGTCATAGGCGAACTTGGCCAGTCCGCTTCTGACTCCAATGTCCATATCATTAATGAAGATGTTGAACAATATGGGTCCAAGGACAGAGCCTTGGGGGACCCCACTGGTCACAGGGCACCATGACAACTGACTTTGTCAATTACAACCCTCTGGGTCCGACCACGGAGCCATTTTCCCAGCCAGCGGATCATGGTGGACCCGAGGCTGCAGTTGGCCAGTTTTGCCAAGAGGTGACCATGGGATATCAGATAGAAGGCTTTTTTGAAGTCAAGATATATGACAACAATCTCTTCTCCCTTGTCCAGGTGATAGGTCACCTGGTCATAAAAGGAAATGAAATTGGTCAAGCAAGACCTACCCGCAACAAACCCGTGCTGGCTATCCCAGGTGGCCCTGGGCTGTAGCTCCCCCTGGCTGAAGATCCGGGAGGAGCCAGGCAGGGTTATTTTGCCCCAAGTGGCACAATTTGCTTCACAACAAAGTGCATGTCCGAGCACGTGCACTGAAGCAAAAAGCCCCAGCTCAAATTTGCACCACTTGTATCTGAGCTGCTGCAATTGCACGTGCTTGCATGTGTGGACACGCTCTACAGGGCTGCAAGACCAGTAATTTGAGACCCATCCCCCTCAGTACAGAGAAAGGGAATGAGGAGTTCCCCATAATCTGTTCATTAAGGATTCCTCCATGTGCAGCTCTAAATAGAAACAATTTAGATTTAGCACGTCTGTAGCCCAGGTAAGAAATGCTTTGCTTGAACCTATGGCTTCTTAACTTGACAGTTAGTTTCCCCCACACCATTTTTCAAAATGAAACAAAGTAAAGCAAGCCTGAAAATAAATTGGTTTCTTCATCTGGGACATTTGCAAACTCCTTTGTTTCATGTTTTAACTGTGCCAGATTATGATAAAAGACCTGTTGTGCTCTCTTTGGCAGAACCACGCAACTATGGCAATATTAACTTGTTCTTCTCTTTATGCAGCAAATTTGGATTCAAGAAAAAAAAAATGGTAGTTATTTGTTATTTCTCAAGTACTTGTGTGGGAATCCAGCTTCCTACACCCAAACGAAAGGTAATTACTGCAGTGTTATCTGTTCTATTCTCATGTGCCAAGTCTGTGTTTCACTTCTTGACTGTTGAGAGAGAGAAGTGGGATCTTTAGCTGCTGTAAACCTTCTTCCCCTACCCCACTGTAATTCCAAGTGTTATAGATTCTTATGCTCTTTTAAGTTAAAGACCTCAATGATTTTACAGTTGCTAAGAGTCATCATGATTAATATCATTAATACATTTTTCAGCCAAACTAATTTTAGCTCAATGGAAAATTTGCAATGCCAGTGGCCCTCTCAAGTGACATATTTTTATAATTTTGGTGAAGTGTTTCACATAAACTTTTTGGTTCTGTTTTCTCATTTTTACTCAAACAATTACTAATGACATACCCATTAATCATGAATTGAATTAGACAATTAAGGTAAGGAGAAATGAAGGAATAATAGTTGAAACAGGTGTTTAGTTACAAAGAGGAGAGAATTTAGCCATTTAGATCTTCCCGACTCCTCAAACCATACCCTTTTTTATTGTACTAAAGTGCAAAATAGCAAAGCATATCAAAAAAGAAGATGTGCATCCTTCCCAAACCTGCCTAACATAATGCCCAGTTGTTTAACCATTATTTATTTAGTTAGACAGTTTGAAATGAATAGGAGCCCCAAGGTGAATAAGGGCTGCAAACTGGACCTGTACTTAGCTTATATTTTTATATTCACAGTAATACTAAACAGGGTTTCCCTGTTAGTTCTCATCAAATATATAATAAATAATAACCTAATCGTAGAGATATAGGAAAGAGTTCCCATTGGTTTCAGTGAAAGGAAGTTCAGGGTCTTGAAAGAGTCTTCAGTAAAGAAGTGTGAAATGTAAACATACAAACTATTAGGTTATCCAGGAGTAACAACCACCACCCACTTACCTTGAACTTTTTTGAAAACCCTGGAACTCATAAACTTTAAAAATCTGTCGGCATAAAAACTTGGTCTGTGAACTGAAACAGTGTCCTAGAAAACAGAAAGGGCTTTAAATTTACATTCTTCATACAGAAATCAAAATGAACAAGGGAAAAACTTGACATCATATTTTTCTTAAATTTTCATACTTTATTTGGTGGCTCATGGATGAAGATATAAAGATTTTGCTTTCTCATGCCAACTAGAAATTACTGTACAATTAACAACCATTATAATTAGTAATTGTACAACCTTTTTGTAATCCATGTATCACCATAAGCATTTAATATAATTCAATAAAATAAAATTCAACTCTAGATTTTTGATCAGCTGGTATACTATGTGGCAAAATTTTGCCTTGCATTACATTCTATACAGCTGCACTGATGTTGATTCAGGAGGCACTCTAACTGGCTAATATAGTTTTCAATTAACTCTTGACTTAACTGGTAAATTAAGATTAGGGATAAAAACATCATCCTTTTATTTTAGTTGTGTTGTACTGTATTACATTTTTGGCCTGGTACCTAATTTGTCCAAAACCTGGTGAAGGAATCTAAGGGCTTCTTACAGACATTAAAAAACAGAACAAAGCGGCACCTTTTAACTCAGTGCACTCCCATGCTGAGCCCAGCACATGCCCAGAAGAACCATCACATTAGTTGGACCTGGCTTGCCCAATGTCTGTATAGATCAGGCACTTTTATCTAATAGCTGATTGAAGTCCTGCTGAAGCACCAATCTATACAGATGCTGCAGAGCCGGGTCAAACTAACATGCTGCTTTTTCCAGTAAGCGTGGTTGGTTGGTTTTTTTAATGTCTGTAAGCAGCCCTATTGTTCAACAGAGTTACAAAGAGGATTTGATTTTATTTATTTATTTATTGGTTAGATATGCAATAGGATGACAGCTTGTCAAAAATTACAAAACTAAACTTACTAAGGAAAACTTATCAGGAAAAAGCACATTCAGTAGCCTGGATACCTTGGTGATAGGCAGATTATAAATGTAAGAGTTTGTATTTCCTCAGACAACAGTTATCAAAACTTTATCATAAAAAATTGTCAATTAAAAAAAGATGCTTACCCCATCATAGACCAGCGCTTTCCAGGAATGTTCCAGCTTCTTCATTAACCTAACCACATTTAAATAACATTAAAAAGTTTGTTGTGAAATGTTCTCGTTTTACAGCAATCTCACAAAAAAATTATTAACATGACATTTTAAAGTGTAGCAAAACAGATGCATTCTAAACTGCCACTTACCTATAAGACTGCAGAATATCAATAATACCCATAAATAGAAGTAGCTTTTCTCCTTTATGGCTCTTAGCTGGAATGCCTCCCATTCTGATGGCAACAACAAAATAAAGATATGAGATATTTTATAACAAAGATCTTTCTAAAGATGCCATAAAAGGTGATATTAAACGTGAACTGCATCTTAGACAAAAAGGAATTACTAGTAAATTCATTAAGGTGGAGTGCTGAATGCCCTAAAAGCAAAGCCAGCTGAGGGTAGGACATTCAACCTCACTGACTGGAAACATGATCTTTCTTTTCAGCTCAGGTCCACAGGCTGCTGCTTGTTAAGGCAACCCCACATGTCACAGTTTCTATCAAAGGCAATACTTCCTTACACTTCTGTATCATGTCCCATTTGAAGATTGCATTACATTATACAAACCTATCCTTATTCATTCTGAAGTAAGTAAATATTGTTTCCCTATTCACAGATTGGGAGGTTAACATGATTTGCCTGAAGTCTCCTAGGAACACTAATGACAAACGCCAGAATAGAAGACTGGTCCCCTGATTTCTACTCCTTTATTCTAACAACTAGTATTGCTCCCTCTTCTACAGAAATACATTGAAAGGCAAGCTTAAACGAAATTTTATTTGTGGTATCCTACTTTACAGACCTGTAAACAAAAAATAGGTCTATATTCTTTGTGGTTATAATTTGTAAAAGATTATGAAGAGCTTCTTTCCTAACTTAGCACCCCTAAAATGGGGTGTTTGAATTTTGCATTCTCAGAAAAATCAGATCCTAGATTTTTTTTTTTCAGGAAAAAAATCAGTCTCTTTGACCTGAGTTTCAAAAGTGATTAGTGATTTAAGGTGTCAAATAAAAAATCATTTAAAAGGTAGCCTAATTGATTTAAGCATTACAAATTGTTAATGTGGTTTGAAAGTCTTGGCTCCAATTTTTAGTTCATTTTTATTAACTTCTGTTAAATTCAATATACCCTCTAAACTGTTAGTGAAAAAATACCATCAAAAGATGCAACATCTCATTTTCTAATGAAGCCCAAGAAAAGTAATAATATACTCCTCAGACATCCAACAAGAATAAAGTTGACAGTGTTTAATATTTCAGATATTTCTAAGATTCAAAATTAAATACCAAAATGATAAATAGTTTGAAAGCCAAAACACAAAACCACTGCTCAGGCTTTCCTACTGTATCACAACAATGCACTTGAATGTACTTGAAAAGTGACCTGCAAATGGGAAAGCAAGTACAATAACTTGCAATTTCATAATTCTGTTCTTACTGAAAAAAAATTAATTCTATTAAACACTGTGTCCTTGGATGTCAACCTACCACTAAGAAGGAACCACACTCCATTCAATGGGTGGCAGCTCCTCAACAACATAGAGCAATAGTACACAATAGTTTTGTTGGAATGCAAGGGAAGAAAGCAATGACAGCAGGTGGGATTCAGAGAGGCACAAGTACTTAAAGCACTGTAAAATCCAAGTAGACTAACTAGCAAAAATATCTTATAAGCATTTGGGTGACTTAGCAGCTTATATTAGACTGACTTTCATAGGACATTAAAGTGACTCAGGAACCTAACAACTGTATTTCTGCATGTAATATCATTGGATTTTTGAAGACAAGGTGTTGGTTTTCAGTTACTTGAACAGAATATTTCCAACAGTACACAGCTCCTATCACCATTCTTGAGCATCAGTCCAGTTATGAGTCATATACTTATTTCATGCAAATAAGAGTAATTTCATACTTGTAGGGCAAAATACAGCTCTTTGTCTAAACCCATATTCTAGTACTTTAAACACAAAACTATGCCAATACAAAGTAGTATTATTCTCCCATTAATTTGCTGTAGGTTTAAGCATGTAACACTAATGGTATTTACCCAGATAACTCCCTGGTGAACCCAGAAAAGTAAAACCTTTTCCAAGTGAAATTAAGTCTCTGTTATTAAAACAAGGATTGATTATACAGAATAGGAATGCTGATTGCAACTCTCATTAGCACTGAACATGAATCGGGGAAGAGAATATTCTGTGGAGACACATACTTGAAATGAAGACAAATGGAGCACTTCACCCTTTTCAATTACATCCTTAAAATTCTCAACAGCTTAGGAAATGCTATTGCATACAGAGGCAGTAGAAGTGCTGTCTTCTGAGCATAATATAAATAAAAGATTTTGATCACTGTAGTTATTAAAGATCCCATGGCACCATTTATAAGCGTAAGAGTCTTAACACCAAAGTCTTGGCTGAATTCCAGCCTGGCTAACTACAGCCTGCCTACCTACATTTCCACTGCAGTTTCAATTAGGGAGAGAAAAAAGCCAACATGTTTTCAGCTGTGCTATAGTGCTCATTTGAGAAGTTGAAATATCAGTCTTGTTCCTCCTGAAAGGTGACTGCACCTCAGCATTTGGTGAAACATTTTCTGTGTATTCAGTGAGAAAATTTCTTTGGGATGACAAACTCTAATAATTTAATTAGTAATTAACAGGTTTGGTTTATGAGGCTGTTTCAAGTTGCAGTGAAATGGCATGTGGGGCTTTTCTAATGGCAGTTTCATAACACATCTTTTATAAGAGAATTAACTTATGTGCAGATAAATTGATTTGACTCATAACCACAATTCCTATAATGTATTTAAGACAATGAAGAAATTGGCGTTTTTATTTTTGGATCTCTAGTGAACCTCAGTGATATAAGCTTTGAACATTTTTTTTTTTTTTTTAAAGGAAAGAAAAAAGAATCCCCACCACTCTCTTCAGTTTTCTTAAGCTTTACAGTCACTTATGTAATCTTGGATGGGAGAAAGTTCAATTTGAGATTTCATTCAGCAACAGAACAGCCCAAATAAATAAGGTAGATAAATTCCAATAGTCATTTTTTTTAACAGCAAGGTTTGTAGACTTACGTATTTGTAGCTTCTGTGAGAACAGAGTCGCCAGACTTCCCAGGCCCCTGTATGGATTCCATGGCTGTAGAATAGAGAACTTTCTGTCCCCCAGGACGTTTAGCATCAGATGCATTCTGGGAACTCTCTCCATCCTTCTCTCTTGTGATACTGTCTAATGTATGGATTCCCAGCAGCAGACTATAATCCATGATTTTAAAACTTTCCAACACCTGTTAAGGAAGAAGGACTTTTTGCACCATAACATAAAAATGACTACATAACTGTATTTCTCATAATTAAAATACTTGAGAAAAATCCCAAAATAAAAGTATATAGAATACAATGGCCTCCACTGACTTGGGTGGTTTGCAAAATGTAAAGGCAAATTTTAATGTTTGATACTAGTGTGGCACCAGAGGCAGATTCGGAGGGTGGGGGATGCACTGATGCACTTGCACCCCTCCTGCTTTGATTCCTACTTCACCCAAAGTTTAAAACCAACTGCCTGGCAGTGGCAGCAGCATGTCCAGTCAGGCAGTGCTGAGGGAGTCAATTGACTTCAGGGCTCATTAAAGTCTACCTGATACCTTCTAAGGTCTTAATTCCACAGGTGTTAGTGACACTCTGTCCTTTTTAATGACCTTTGACAATCAAGCTTGCCTTCCTTCTGCAATTGTGCTCTCTGTTAGATGCTCCTGGTAATGTAACTCCTATTTCACAGTCTTGCAGACTGTTTTAAACTCATTCCAGTAAAGTTATTAGAGGTCAATATATCAGGCGCATAACAGATCAGCACCAATAAAAGGAAAATTAACATTATCAGCAATTGTCTTTTTTTGCCTGGTGTAGCTGATAATGTCACTGATAAATGCTGCATGCATGTGCACAGCTGTAGCATGCTTGTAGCCAGGAATGCAGCCTGGTAGTTTGGAGAGCAGTGTCTGGCCAGTAAGTCGGGGAGGGTGGGAAGGAGATTGATAACCCCACAGTGAGGGAGGAAGTGATGCAGGGGCAGAGGCAGGGGCTGCCCAGTCAGGCTGGTGAATGCAACACCAGGGCCAGGAGCCATAGGCAGCTCATTTGGGGGTGCGGAAGGGTAGGGAGAAGGGGTGGATCCCCACCACTGCACACACCCACAGGGGAGGTGTGTGGGGCATATACTCCCTGGATTTGTGTGTGGGGCAAGGGTGGGCTGCCCACTGCAGTCTCAGTGCCAGGGGCTGCACTGGCCTCTTCCCTATAGAGGAGGGGCTCCAAGCAGGTGGGGGTAGGGCAGGCAGCAGTGGCACTGGGAGGTGTGGATATGGGGTGGGCTATAGCTATCCCAAAATTCCCCGTAGCCACCCCTCCCAGCACCGCTGCTGCCCCCACTGTCCTGCCCCCACCCCCTGAGGACAGCCCTGGCCCAGCACCCCCCATCGGAGAGAGGCTGGCACAGCCCCTAGCCCTGAGCCCTCCCTCACCCTGCACACATATCCACGGGGCACATGCCTTCCATGCCTCCTGCAGGTTTACGTGCCCTCACCAGGCACCATTCCATGTGCACCCTCCTTTTCAAAATCCTACAGCTGTCAATGCCTGGCACCTTTTGCCTGAGGGTCTCAAATTAATTTACAACCATCAATAAACTAACCACTGCAAACCCCATTTTAAATATGGGGGAAGCAAAGGCACAGGGGGCTGAAGATGCAGTAATACAGTCTGCAATCAAAGGGAGTTTGCCTCTTAGTAACTTCTTCCATTTACAGTGAAGGAACGTTTAAGGCAGTTATCTTATGCACTGACCACAATATATATTTACGATCATAGTAACACACGAAAGGACATTCTGCTTAAATATATATAAACTCAAATTTGCAAAAAAAAACCCCAACGAGGAAGAATTTCAAAAGGCAAGAAGGACAGTTGGCTGCTCAGTCCTATTTGAAATCAATGGGATTTGGGTGAATAACTCCTCTTTTGTGTCTTTGAAAATCTCTCCTTGGCACTCCAAAAGGGACAGACTTTATACTTGAAACATGACTTGGAGATTAACCAACCTCATCCCTTGCTCTTATTAGCCATTTTGCCTCCCTGGTTTTAATAAGTTCAACCTCCCCATTTAGGTTCACATACAGGCATAAACTTCTGCTACACCAATATGAATCCAGAGAATGCCATTAGAGGAGGGGGAAAAAACCTATCATCATCGGTATTAAGTCATTTAAAATGTGAAAAAGGCAAAATGAAGCAGCTCCTAAGTACAGTTAATAATACACAAAAAATCACCTGCAGGCAGATATTATATCAAACACACTGCATGGAAGCCTTGCTTGGCACAGGGGAGACAACCCATTTAATTTGCTGTAATCTCAGGGAGATATCTGCCGCAAAGCAAGTCTTCTTTACTCTAATGCAGCCCAGCAGTGATTTCACTGCCAAAATCTCTTACTGATAATGTTGTAATCCTTGGCACTGAATTGTAAAAATGTATGTCATTTTATGTGGAACAAGACCAATTTGATTTTACAGAGACAACAAATAAAACACATTAAGTTTAGGCGTGGTAGTTTATCAGAGCATAAATATTTTACACAAAAACCCTAGACCAAGTTTTGAACTCTCATGCACTTTTTATATCTTCAGAACTGGGGTGATTAGGAAAGCATTCAAGATGCTTTGGAGGTACAGTAAGCAGAAGAGGGAACTCCACCAACTATATAACTGTCTTTTTACACACACACACACGCACACACACACACACACACCCCCGCTTTATCACATTGTATTTCTACTCACTAAAAGCTACAAATGCAACATTAGCATCTTATCTCCATTCTTTACCTATCTTGCATTTTGTGGTACTATCCTGAATAGCTTTTTACATTTTGTCAATGACAATCGTCAAGGCCCATTGTTAATAAGGGAAGATTTGCATAGGGTCTTGCATTGTAAACTAAAGGCAGAAAGGTCTCGTCTAATTTAGAGCTCTGGGATAGGGGTATTGTGAACATCACAGGTTGCTAAACAGGGAAACCTAGGAAAATAACCTAGGTTTCAAGAAGAGAAGAAGAAAAAAAAATGTCTTTGAATTCTTAAATGTCTGAGATGCATCTATCAGCATCCTCATCTCATTCTCATTGGTAATGACACCAATAGATGATCTTGGACCATAAAATAAAAGACATATTCTTGATTATCATGATGACATAAGGAACATATATTTCATTACTCATAATGAGGGAATGATGGTTACTAAACGCATCCAGTTTTGGGGAACTAGAAATTGTGAACTGCAAAGGTAGGTAATAGAATTCTTCTTGCAACTGCCACAATGAATTAAATTTAAAAAAAGATCTACTGGGGTTCTCAGTACAAATATTTTTAATGTTGTACGTATATATTTTATTCAGCTACAAGACTTGGATGCATACCACTGAAAATAGAAAGAACGAAGATGCTTAGCTGATTAAACAATAAAATAGTTTATCCTTCTGAAAGTATTACTCCTGTATTATAGTTATTATCAATGTATATGAGAATCTTGATTTCATAAGCTAAACATAACTGGGAGCACGAATGCCATTCCCATTTGAATACTTTAAAGTAATTCCATTTAGCACTCTTTTTTTTTGCTTTAGCCAAATATATCTTTGCATCCTCAGTCCCTTTTGGATTAGATAATTAGTACAGCGGAAACCATAAAGTAAGTGTAACATCAATTTAATATTTGATACAGTGTAATGAAAGATGATATACCCTGCCTCCCCTTCTGGAGGAATATACCAAATTTAATTGCATACCACATGCACCTTTTGCAATCAACAAAACAGCCCGCTTAAACGTATATGTTATGCAGAAGTTGATTTTCATCACATGGAGAAGTAGAAGGATGCAGATACTGTGCTACAAAATGGCTGCCAGTTACACTCTCAGCCAGCAAGCAAGAGGAGGCAGGGTCAACTGTTACCCTTCATGGGCACGCTCAAATTTGCAGCAGCTCAGCCAAAAAAACTACTGCAAATAAAGCAGCTGTGAAAGAGGTAATACTGGACCCTGCCCATTTCTACCTGTTGTCTCAGAAAGAGCTGTCAGCTACGGGTGCGCAAAATGGGCTGTATTTGATTCGGATTCAGATTCAGCCCGAATCAGAGACAGTGCTTTGATTTATTGATTCAGATCACTGTTCCCGATTCGATTCGTCCGAATCCGAATCTGAAGATTCAGAGAATCAGCGATTCGGCCATAGACACAGCTTTAGGTACCTTGAGGTACCAGGCATGGCTCATGAACTCTGCGATGCTGGGGTGCATGGAGTGTCCCACAGGAGCACGGGAGAGTCCCCCACATGCTCAGTGGCAAACCTGGAAGTGGACCAGAAGAACTTCCGGTCCACTTCTGGATCTGCCAGGGAGCACGCTGGGGGCCCCTCCGCACCACCCCTGGCACTACCCCGGGTGCCCCCCCAGACCCCGGAGGCACTAGTCCCTGAGCCAAGGGGAAATGGGGGGGAGGGGGAGAAAGAGGCCTAGCACGCTCACCGGCAGACCCAGAAGTGGACTGGAAGTACTTCTGGTCCACTTCTAGGTCTGCTGCCAAGCACCCTGGGGACCCCCCACCACACTCCTGTAGGATGCTCCATCTGCCCCAATATCACAGCATTCATGAGCCGCCTCCTACCTTAAGGTACGTAGAAAAAAAATGTAAACCCATTTCTACGTCCGAATCCTTCTGAATCGATTTGGAGAGTTCCGATTCGATTTGGAGAGATTAAAGCATTTCCTGATTTGATTCAGATTTGGAGATCTGACCACTGAATCGGGCCAAATCTCTGCCAAATTGAATCAGGGACCAAAGCTTCACACAGCCCTACTGGCAGCCACTTTGCAGAAGAACCTCTCCATGAAAAAGCCAGTTCTGGGCTACAACTCTAGAAAAATCTGTTCCCCCCTACATTGCACTTTCCAAAAAACAAAGTGTGTGTCTTATTTGTGGGTGTCTGATGTAGCGAACCTCTTCTAGTTCTGACTACACTGATCCACTATCTTTTGCCCCAATTCCTGGCACTAAAACTTTAACTAAAAATCTCACTGCCTGCCTGTACTCTTATTCCAGAACCTTTTAAACTAAAAAGTATAACATAAGAAGTATATGTTATCTAGCTATTCTAATACTCCTGGAAGGTGAAGTCAGTATCAATGTAATATTTTCTTCCTGGACACATCCTGAGAACCTGTTCCTACATGTAGCA